CTCACCCACCACACAGACCCTCACAGACCCCCACCCACCACACAGACCTCACCCATACAGACCCTCACTCACCACTCAGACCCTCAGCCACACAGACCCTCACAGACCCTCATGCACCACACAGACCCTCTCCCAGGCACCCCTGACCCCCAGAGCCCTGGGCAGACCCTCACCCACGCAGTTGACCCCCGTGTAGTCCAGGTTGTATCCGAAGGGGCACTCGCAGCGGAAGGAGCCGTCGGTGTTGATGCAGGCCCCGTTGATGCAGACCCCCAGGTTCTCCGAGCACTCATTGACATCTGTCAGGGAAACCACGAGGGTGAAACCTCCCACAGCCACAAACAGCCCTCTCAGGACCGACATGAGACACCCAGGTGATCCCTGGACCTTCAGATTCTCCCTTTCCAGATCTGAGGGCTGAACCTTTGGTGAGCAGTTGAGCTTGGGAGAGCCCCCCAGTCCTATTCCTTCCACCCCTTCCCTGCCTCTGGGATCCAACCCCGCTCTCCGGGAGCCCAAGTCTGGCTGTTTTTAGGCAGCAACTCCCCCCCCCAACCCAAAATTTCTTGTCATCCCTAGAGCCAAGCTCACCTTCTCGGGTGTCACCTGGGCCTGGGATGGCTCCGTGGCCGTACGGACACAGCTCCTGGAAGGCAACTGGAGAGAAGCAGGAAAGTGAGATCTGCTCACAAGGGATTCCACTCACAGCAGCTGAAATGGGCTTTGGAGGCTTCTAGAGCACGATGGGAGCTTGAGAACCCCCAAAACCCCATCTGGCTGGGAAAAACACGTGCCTGCTTCGGGTGTGGAATCATGGAATCATGAAGGTTGGAGAGCCCTCTAATGTCATGGACTCCAGCCATTAACCCAACACCACCGTGTTCACCACTAAACCACGTCTCCAGGTGCCACATCCCAGGGATGGGGACTCCAGCACTGCCCTGGGCAGACTCTGACAGTGCTTGACCACCCTTTCAGTGAAGAAACTTCTCCTAATGTTCAACCTAAACCCTCCCTGGCACAACTCAAGGTTGTTTCTTCTTGTCCTGTCGCTTGTTACCTGGGAGAAGAGCCTGACCCCCACTTGGCTACAACCTCCTTTCAGGCAGTTGTAGAGAGCTCCAGGTAGTTGTGGAGAGAGTTGTGGAGGCCCTGAGGTAACACCAAGGTTCTGGGTTTGACCCTTGGGTGGACCATTCACTGAAGAGTTGGACTTGATGATCCTTGTGGGTCCCTTCCAACTCAGAGCGTTCTGTGAGATCCCTGAGATGCTTTTGCCTCATCTAAAGCCTCGGAGAACACCAAGAGCAGATCCAAAGCAGAAATAACCTCCCTGGTTATTCCCTGCAGCCCCAGGGAATTCTGCAGCCCCACGGAATTCTGCAGCCCCAGGGAATTCTGCAGCCCCAGGACGAGCTCCCAGTTCTCCAGGCATGGACAAACCCCCTTTGCTGGACGCCTTGCCTTGCTGGCTGCCTTCCCTGCCTTTCCCCACACGCAGAGCCAGGTCCCAGCCTTCCTACCATTCCCTTCCTGAGGGCACAGCTCGCAGGGATCTCCCCAGCCCTCCCCTGGCATCTTGCTGCAGCAGCACCGAGCCTTGGTGGTGTTGAAGGCCTTGGGGACAGAGCACTTCCCGTTGTCGAAGCGGGTGAAGCAGAAGCTCTGGCGAGTGTCTGCGGGAGGATGGGAGAATTCCAAGGTCACACAGAGGTCCAGGAGGTTCTGCTCCCTCCCCACCACGAGCAGCTGCACTCACCAAAGCAGCGCCGGCCGTTGTCAGACAGCACAAAGCCCGGGGGACAGACGCACTGGAAGCTGCCAGGGGTGTTGGTGCACGTCCCAAAAAGGCAGATGTTGGGCTCCTCTTCGCACTCGTTGATATCTGGGAGGAGCAGGGACACACAGAGCAGCCAAAGGTCACTCCTTTCCTCAAGAAAACATGGTGAAGGTGATGTCTGGGAACTCTGATGCCTCATCGCCACGTCCCCAACCTTTAACCCTCCCTCAGAGAAAATGAGGCAGTGAAAATGGGCACAGCAAAACCCTTGAGCCTCCTCTTCTTCTTCTCCCACCTCTATCTGTGAAGGAGATGTCTGGGAGCTCTGATACCTGCAGGATATCACCCTGTCCCCAACTTCTAACCCTCCCTCAGAGAAAACGAGGCAACGACACACAGAGCAACCAAAGGTCACTCCTTTCCTCATGAAAATAAGATGAAGGTGATGTCTGGGAGCTCTGATACCTGCAGGACATCAACCTTACCCCCAACCCTCAGAGAAAATGAGGCAATGAAAATGCCTTGAGCAAAACCCTTGGGCCTCCTCTTCTTCTCCCACCTCCACCTGTGAAGGAGATGTCTGGGAGCTCTGATACCTGCAGGACATCAGGACATCACCCTGTCCCCAACCCCAGAAAATTATTCAATGACAACACGGAGCAACCAAAGGTCACTCCTTTACTCAGGAAGACAAGATGAAGGTGATGTCTGGGAGCTCTGATACCTGCAGGACATCACCATGTCCCCAACCTTTAACCCTCCCTTAAAGAAAAAGAGGCAGTGAAAATGGGCACAGAGAACCCCCTGAGCCTTCTCTGCCACGGGAGCAGGTCTTGCCTTGCAAGAAGGTGTTTGGGGGTGGTGATGCACCATCCTGCTGATGCCCCAGAGATGCCCCAACCCACCCAGGGAGAACAGGGCTGTTGTGGGAATGGTTCAAGAGGGGGCAGAGGCCCCACATTACCGATGCAGTTGTCGTTCTGCACCTCGTAGCCCGGGGGGGCAGATGCAGCGGAAGGAGCCCTCCAGGTTCTGGCAGGTGCCCGGGGAGCAGGTGCCAGGCAGGCTCACACACTCGTTGATGTCTGAGGAGGAAGAGAAACACCCCGTGATGGGGTCTGTGCCCACCTCAGAGGACCCTCTTGCACCCAAGGCCCCGCTGAGCCCAAAAGGTCTGAGGGAAGCAGGTTAAGACATTTCCCAGGATGGTTCCCAGGGCATCCCTGGTACAGCTCTGCAGGTTTTAGGGGCATGGACAGAGCATTTCTCCTCAGTGCACATGGAAAGGTGCAGGTTTGACTGTTCCCTGCCTTGCTGGAGGGGAGATGAAGGCAGAGAGGGACTCAGCCCAGCTCTCCAGGGGCACTCAGATGAACCAGGCTTTGGTTCCAGAGGACTCGGGACTTGTGGCAAAGGATCTGTGAGTGGTTCTGGAGAATCCACTGCTCAGCTGGTTGGGATGGGCCCAGCCTGGGCACCACATCTCCCAGCAGCAGCTCCCCCCACTGCTGCCCAGACACTCACCCACACAGTTCTTCCCGTCAGGGGTCCGGTCGTACCCCTCCTGGCACAGGCACTGGAAGGAGCCGACGCTGTTGATGCACTGGCCGTTCCGACACACCTGCCCCACCAGGGATGAACACTCATCAATGTCTGTGGGAGGGAGAGGACAAGCAAAACAGGAAGAGATGCAGAGCATGAGAGTGTCACCCCCACCAGCCCTGCGCCTCCGGCACGTACAGCCCCCGCTCCGGCCGCCGCTGACCCCCAGCGTGACCACGTGGCACATTCCAGCAATCCCTGGACTCAGCATTCCAGGGAACTCACCCATGCAGTCGTTGTTGTGTGTGAGCTCAAAGCCAGGGAAGCAGAGGCAGTTGTAGGAGCCGACTGTGTTCTTGCAGGTCCCGTTCCCGCAGGGCTGGCGGTCGCACTCGTCGATGTCTGCGGGGAGAAGGTCACAGGGGACGGGTGAGGGGACATTCCTGGGTGTGCAGGCAGTGGCCAGGGGCTGCACAGCACCAGGGGTAGCCTGAGAGGACGCTGGAGCCCTTGGCTGTGCTTGGCACCGCTCAGCAAAGTGTCAGAGAGAGCTCCCATCCTTCCTCATGGCTGATTCCCACATGGACTGCGGCACCACACTGACCCATGGACATGGTGTGTGGCACCACACTGACCCAGGAACACGGTCTGTGGTCACACAGTGACCTAGGAACACGGTCTGTGGCCACACAGTGACCCATGGGCATGGGCTGTGGCACCACAGTGACCATGGACATGGTGTGTGGTCTCACAGTGACCCAGGAACATGGTTTGTGGCACCACACTGACCCAGGAACACAGTCTGTGGCCACACAGTGACCCATGGGCATGGACTCTGGTCCCACATTTACCCACAAATATGGATTCTGGCCCCACACTGACCCAGGAACACAGTCTATGGCCCCACACTGACCATGCACATGGACTCTGGCCCTACACTGACCCACAAATATGGATTCTGACCCCACACTGATCCCTGCACATGGTGTATGGCCCCACACTGACCCACATACATGGTCTGTGGCCCCACACTGACAATGCACACAGACTCTGGCCCCACACTGACCCCTGCACATGGTCTGTGGCCCCACACTGACCCACACACACGGATGTGACCCCAAACTGACCCACAAACATGGTCTGTGGCCCCACACTGACCCATGTACATGGTCTGTGGCCCCACACTGACCCACAAACATGGCCTGTGGCCCCACACTGACCCACGCACATGGACTGTGACCCCACACTGACCCACAAACATGGCCTGTGGCCCCACACTGACCCACGCACATGGACTGTGACCCCACACTGACCCACAAACATGGCCTGTGGCCCCACACTGACCCATGCACATGGTCTGCTCCCCCGTGGCCTTGAAGCCGTTGTGGCAGATGCAGACGTAGCTGCCCTCGGTGTCCACGCAGTCCCCGTGGCTGCACACGTTGGGGATCTCCTGGCACTCGTTGCGACCTAAAACGGAGCCAAGTGGGCACTGGTGAGCAAAAAGGAGGAACCAGATGGGAAGAGCAGAGTCACAGAACATGCCCAGTTGGAAGGGAGCCACCAGGATTGTTGGGTCCAGCTCCTGGCCCTGCACACGAACCCACAAGATTTACGCACTCAAAAAACCAAAACTCCGTGTAATTGGAAAATGTGACCCGAGTTGCACTTCACAGTGACCTTTTCTCATCCCTCAGGAGCCCAGAATCCTTGGGAATTGCACCAAGAAGTCCAGATGTGCCATAACCACAGCACAGCCAGGTCAGAGTGCCCAGGGAGTGACAAAAGAGCAGCAGGGCACTGGCATGTCCTTCGTGTGCCAGGCAAAGAGTCACCAGCTGGGTGAGGGAGGGGGTTGTCCCGCTCTGCTCTGCACTGGGGAGGCCTCACCTGGAATATTGTGGCAGTTTTGGGCACTGCAAGAAAGATCTGAAGCTCTTAGAGAGTATCCAAAAGAGGGAATATGGGGAAGGGCCTTGATTTGAAGTGTGAGGACACTGAGGGCACTTGGTGGGTTCAGCTGGAGAAGAGGAGACTGAGGGGAGAGCTCAGGGCAGGTAGAACTTCCCCATGAGAGGAAGAGGAGGGGCAGCACTGTGGGGACTCCAGGGAATGACCTGGAGTTGTGTCAGGGCAGGGTTGGGTTGGATATTAGAAAAAGGTTGGATATTAGAAAAGGGTTGGATATTAGAAAAGGGTTGGATAT